TCAATAACTTGAACAAAGGTCCTCCGACACAACGTTTCGGTCGCGCGAAGATAAGTGGGAGGTGAAACATATGGGTCCATATATAGCTTAAGGAGAACCGACGCGATGTATCTCGTGTGTGTTTCCCTCCTAAGTGATTGAACTTCAGAATAATTGCCACACTTTGGTCTAAGCACTTAGAGTATTGCTTGAAGATGCATACAGCCTCGCAGCATCAAGCCTAATACAGATGGAGACACTCGAGCACTAAGCTTCCCTGAACCAGTCCCAAGCTTCATTTATCATCACTCATGAGTCTCACGTATGTTGTGATGGAAATACATATGGAGACGATTCCAAGTATACCGCTATTGCATTTGAAATATTATTAAGTGGATTGTCTGCTATGGTTAGAATCTCAATATCTTCTTAAATCCTGCTTAGATGAAAGAGACCGAACGAAAGATAGACAGACTCAAGACAACTAAGTGGTTGTCTTTTTATTGATAAGAGACGCCTCTATAAACAATGATAAGAGGAGTCTTTGGTGGTTATACCGTTAAGCTATACATAAAAATTATTGGTATAGACTAACACTAATGGTATTTATTTCCTTTATGATGATTTTAGAAGGAGTGAGTGTTTGATTTATAAATGGACTTAAGCCATGTAAATTCGAAGCTAAAGAGAACTAATTCCTACTCTTAGCCCTATAATACTTCTAATTTAATAACATCGAGCATCATAGGGGTTTTTGGAACACTGTGATGGATCTTATGTATCATTCTTACCTATACTTGGAGACACTAATAAGTTAACAATAACTCAGTAAGTGGTAAGCGACTCTAAAAGAAGGAATCAAACTTAATATTCTAGCTACAACTGCACCAAGAATGATACAGAGGAAATTCAGCTTCTTCAATCTACAACAGTTCCTTAACACTGTCGAGTGTCCTTCTCTCTTATCATCCGAGGTCTTTACATTCATCACATCACCACAACCAATTGAATTGTAGTCAGAGTAACAACATGAAAATCCTATCACTCCGAGCTCAATTTGCTAGCTCATGAGTCTCATGTCCCCTTCAATATAGCTGAATCTTATTAATTCGCTCAACAAACTATAATGTACTCGTAAGTGACTATAGTGTTCCAGTAGTTGTAAGATCTCTGAGGACACTACTTTCTAGAGTTCTGTCTGAATACCTCATATATCATACCAATTATCACATGAGTCATATGCACACCAACCTACGACACAGCATTATATATGTTATATATAAATATGTATGGATGATAATACACGTCAGTCAGCCAATGCAAGTGATCTTTCTTTCGTTGAACCTAGTTCTTATAAGTCAGCTCTCAAGTGTCCAGTTTGGTTAAATGCTATGAAGGAAGAAATTGGTGCACTTCATACTCAGAAAACTTGGAGTTTGGTACCTTTACCTCAGAACAAGAATTTGGTAGGTTGTAAATGGGTATTCAAGCTTAAGAAACATGATGATGGTACTATAGCTAGACATAAGGCTCGGTTGGTAACAAAAAGGTTTAGTCAAGAACCTGGGATTGATTATATTGAAACTTTTAGTCTTATTGTTAAACCTACAACAGTGAGGATAATGTTGGCTTTAGCTGCTCATTTCAGTTGGTCTCTTAGGCAATTGGATGTAAAAAAATGCTTTTTTACATGGCATTTTACAAGATGAAGTGTATGGTGCAACCTCCAGGTTTTGAGGATTCTATGTATCCAAATTTGGTCTGCAAACTTCATAAATCTCTTTATGGTTTGAAACAGGCTTCCAGAGCCTGGAATGAGAGATTTACTGCTTTTCTTCTTAAGTTGGGGTTCCAGAATACTTATTCTGATTCATCATTGTTTGTGCAAACTGTTGGTTCCACCTTGGTTATTTTGTTACTCTACGTGGATGATATCATTATTACTGGCAATGATTCTATGGCTATTCAACAGGAAATTAATATCAAAGACTTAGGATCTCTGCATTATTTTTTGGGTATTCAAATCTCTCGAACTACAACTGGTTTGTTTCTTTCATAGCAAAAGTATGTTCTTGATTTGTTGGTTAAAACAGAAATGGTTGATTCTAAACCTTGTGATACACCTTGCCTACCTTATAATAGGCTCCATAAGGATGATGGTGAACCATACAACAATCCTACCCTTTATAGGAGTGTTGTCGGTGCTCTGCAATATTTAACTTTTACCCGGCCTGATATTGCTTTCTCAGTTCACCAAGTCTGTTAGTTTATGCAATGTCTTATGGTCTCACATTACACTGCAGTCAAGAGGATTCTTAGGTATCTTAAGGGTACTATGACATATGGCTTGACTTATTCCAGTTCGGATTTGGACATTAAAGCATTCAGTGATGCTGATTAGGCAGACGATCCTAATGATCGAAGATCCATCACTGGGTTGGTTGTTTACTTGGGTGGCAATCCTATATCTTGGTCCTCAAAGAAGCAACAAAATGTCTCTAAATCTTCCACAGAGGCTGAGTATAGAGCCTTGTCTTCTACAGCTGCAGAACTTAATTGGATTAAGCAAATTCTCAGTTTTCTGCATATTAAAGTCCCTGTTGTTCCAGTTATGTTTTGTGATAACATGTTGGCCATCGCCTTATCTTTCAATCCCGTTCAACACCAAAGAACAAAACATATCGAGGTTGATGTTCACGGGTTGCCAAGAATCAACTCCATGTTCAATTTATCTCTTCCAAGGAACAATTTGCAGATATTCTAACTAAGGGATCGAGTGCCCCTTTGTTTCATACACATTGTAGCAATCTCATGCTAGGATCATCCAAGCATGAGTTTGAGGGGGGATGATAGAGATATTATGTTTGTGTCTGAGATTATGACACTTGGCAGAAGATTAGCTAGGTAGTTAGATTAGTTGCAATCTTGTGCTCTCTATAAATACTTGTATTGAGATGTCTTACTGACTAAGAAATAATATACCAAAGAAATATTCAGCCTCTCTTTCTCTTCTCTGTGAATCTCCTCTTCCTCTCTCTATTCATATACGAAACCTGTTTCTTTCTCTAGTTTAACAATTAGTGGTGGTTAATTTTATGCAAACATATGTAATTCAAGTGCTTCAAAGAAATGCAATACAAGTAGATGAAAAAAATAATATTCAAAGAAGCACGGCTAAGTGTGTTGCGGTCACAACCAAGGATTTAAATATCGAAAATATCGGCGAAATATCGTCGATATTTTCGTTTTTTTTTTAGTTACCGATATTTTAATGAGTATCCAATGAGTTTTCGTCAAAATATCGCGATATTATCGATAATATCGCGATATGACATCCAAAAATTCTTAAAATTTCTGAAAAGTCTCAATTTTGAGACTAAAGGGATTCGAACCCCCTCCCATTTGACTCCTTAACGCCTTAACCACCATATCACTTATGTTGTTGTGATAATATGCTACTATATTTATATATATTGTTTTGTTTTGAATTCTTTTTACAAGAAACAAATTTGCACATATTCCAAATTTTTTGTGGTATTATATTTTAAATTGTGTCAATTAATTACTTAGTCAATGGCATGTGGTTTTTAATTTTTCTATTTTTTATTTGGTCACTTATATGGTAGGGCTGGAAAAAATTCCCGAAAATCCCAAACCAAACCGAAAAAGTCCCAAACCCAAACCGAAAAATCCCAAACCAAAACCATCCTGAAGTTCAGGAATCCCATCCCGAAAAATACCGAAATTTTCGATATGGGATTGGTTTCCAAATCCCATTTGTTTGGTAATCCCGAAAAATACCGAAGTATTCGGTTTCCTATTGACTTTGGGTTTTGGTTCTTGAAAACCATTGCCGTGGTTGCTGACTACTCTTCACAATACACTTACTCTACAAATAGAGATGATGAAGATAGTGAAAATTTTGAACCTCATAGGAACTCTATGTGGTACTAAGTCACTCATGTATCTGACCATGCAATGTATAAAGTGTAAAATATTGTACTAATTCATTATATATAAATGATTATGGTGTGTTTAAACTTCTTTCATTAATTACTACATATTTTCTACATTCACAATGTTTGCCAGCTCGCTATATAATCAACTTAAATCAGTTAAATCCATCATGCAATGCATTTCCTTCCAATTTTTTGTGATAAACTAATAGATAATTGACTAAATAAACATTCTGCAAAGTTTCAATAAAAATTTCCAAGTTTTTCTTACAATTTCCGTGGTTTCCATCTAATTTTTATCGATATCGATATTATCCCAATATTTCCATCGATATTTCCGTGTTTTCGGACTACCGATATTTCTGATATTACCGATATTTTCTTCCTTGGTCACAACTAAACACATCGATTTTACAAGAAATATATGATTTATATTTAGTGGTGGTTAACATACAGAAAATATTTTAGTTTGGATGCTAGTTCTTTGTAATTAACATGTAAATTTGGTTTTGTTTGGATTAATTATCCAATTCACGCCAGGTGTATAAAGACATTAATTTTGTAACAAACTGGTCAATAAAAAACGCTTTTTTTCTTTTGCCCGAAAATAAAACAGTTTTTGAAAGGAAATGAACTTTCTATTTCTCAATGATTAAATAATTACAACTGTCTGCATACATACATACTTTTCACAAATGACAATTAAGAAAGACTAATTACAATTTGAGATAACTACTAAAAACTAACTCTTAACAACATTAACTCTATTGACTAAGGTTGTTACATTGCTGACTGGACTTGTAATATTCTCGTCTTACACCCCTTAAGCTAAACGCAGGTGAAGTAAGACAACCAAGTGAAAGCTTGGATTGCAGCAGGTGGTGGTTGGATTTTGGCGAATTTGGAAATGTAGAAATGAAGCGGTATTTAATGGGACTAGAATCCTGCCGCATATTGCAGTGAAGTTGTGGCGAAAGCAGGTGGATGAGTTTAGGGAGTCTACAGTAGTGGAAGGGGTGGACCATCGGAATGGGAGGGTGTTAGGGGTGGGGGGAGTGGGTGCGGATGGTGTTGGGGGGGGGGGAGCGGCTTCAGTGGACAAATCCTAGTTTTGGAGTGTTGAAATTGAATTGCGACGCGGCCTGGAGGAAGGAGACAAAGGTGGGTGGGGTGGGGTGGGTACTTCGCGATTTTGCGGGGCTTCCTAACCTCGTCGAAGGGGTGGGTGGTCAAAGGTTTGCAGCTACAATAATGGTCGAGGCGGAAGCGATCAGGCAGGGATTAGAGATGGTTATTAGTAGTGGTGTTTTGGAACCTGGGGGTAGTTTGGTGGTTGCATCAGACTCAAAAGGTTTGATTCAAATGATTAATCAGGAGCTCATGGCTGATGTGGCTCTTGATATTTATCTCCAAGACATTTGGAGGATGGCGAACTTGTTTCAGTTGGTGAGATTTTGCTTCACCCCTCGGCAATACAATCGTGCAGCTCATTCAGTGGCGGCGCACGTTGTTAAGCATGGCGGGAGATTTGGCTGGGATTTGTTAGGTCTAGAATTTTTGTTTAATATTTTAGCAAAGGATGCAAATGTAACCGTTCGTATTTAATCTTAATAAAGTCCTATCTTTCGACCAAAAAAAAAAAAGCTTGGATTTCAAAAATCGAAATCTGGACTAGGACAAAGATTTAGTATGAAATCTGCAACTTGATCTTGACTGCACATATATTTTACTTGAAGAAGGCAACACCAATTTTCTAATGTAATGATAATCAATCTCATGATGTTTTGTTTGACCATAAAACACAGGATTAGAAGTAAAAAAGATAGCAATAAATATTACCGCACCACAAAGAAGGGACTTTATATAAAGAAAAGCCAATGTCCCTCAAATTTTTGCAAATCCATCTCACCAATTGTGTAAGTAATCAATATTCAGCCTCTGTGTGACCTGATAATAGTGGATTGCTTTTTAGCACTCAAATTAATAACATTATCGCTAAAAAATGATACAATAACTACTAGTTGATCTCGTGTAAACTGACACAAAAAAAAAGACTTTAGAAGTGCATAAACTGGCACGCTTGATTAACACCAAATGGTAAATCAGAACGTGCCCAAGTCGTATAGTTTGTCTCGCGTTAACCCCTCAAAGATGCTGGATAGCTAATTGGTTTCATAGATTACAATAATATTCTACTGAAAAAGCCATCAACCAATACAACATATAAAACCGGTTTACCTAGCCATTATTCGGTAAATCCGCTTGACCTAGGATGGCGCTGAAAACTCCGCCGAAGCAAATCGAAGCTTCTTGCGAGACACTCAAACTACGAAGAGCAAACACGTTCAAGCAATCGAACTTTGACAACCTCCAATTATTGCAGCATTTGTAATAAATACATTTTTTTTTTTAGTTCCCTCCAATATTGCATATACCAAGTAAAGCTTGATACTAAACATGAAAAAACAATTAGTTTCCCCCAACTTACATCTTACACACTCATGGATCGGACATACACCGATAAAGCTAATAGTCCATTGTTTCACGAAAAAACAATTAGTTCAAAACTAAGCATATGCTCACGGCTAATGTTTATATGCATTTTATGAAAACAATTTTGAAATGGCATATAAAGAATATTCATTTTTGAAATTGTACCATACATGCGATTATTAGGCAGACTGTATTTTATGCCATAAATCATAAGAAAAGTTTTGTTAACGCGGGTTTCCGGAATGACCTAGTCCCACTTTGGCCATGTCTTCATCATGAGGGAAGACTCTTTGACGGGAGACTAGATCACTATTGGATGGAACAGACTCTTAGGCACATGATGGACCACTTCTTTGCAGTGCTAGGTAGACCATGATGGTCTACCGAGACCACTTCTTTACCGAGACTACTAGGGCAGTACTAGGCTTAGCGCTAGGCATGCAGTGTTAGGAAAACTAGGATGCTCTACCAAGACCACTTCTAAACGGAGACCACACGATGATCATGGTGCTTTAAGTAGACCACCGTGGATTAGATCACTGTTGGATGGAAGAGATCCTTTTTGGCACATGATGGACCACTTCTTTGTAGTGCTATGTAGACCATGATGCTCTACCTAGACCACTTCTATATCGAGACAACCACAACAGTATTAGGCTTAACGCTAGGCAAACCAAGATGCTCTATCGATACTACATGATCTGTGAAATCCCGTCTCCGGATTTCACTATTTAAATTTACATATTTTTGTATTATTAATTTCGACGAGTTTATATGTGCAGCGCATAATTTTTAGTAAAAGGACAAAAACGCCCTTAATGAACTAAGTAGAAAATTTCGAGAACATATTTGGTGTGTGTGTATATATATATATATATATATATATATATATATATATATATATATATCCACTTTTCTTCATGTATTTGGATAATACTCGTCAATACGAACACATGAACGCAAACAGAATGTGATTTGGAGCTATAACGAATGAAATATAAATGAGCAAAGGTTAGGGGTAAAATGGTAAAATTGTCCTGTTTTGCTGGAAGGCTCTAGAAAATTTGGGAGCCTTCCCATTATTTTTTTTAGCTAGGTGGCTGGCTGTGACTGAGAAAGGGGAAAAAAAACTACCCAATCAGAAGAAGGGAAATGAGAGAAAAGAGGGGAAATGGCGGGGAATGAGGAGGAGAGAGGGAAGTGAGGGAACCAATCAGAAGGAGGGAAAGGAGGGAAGGAGAAAATAAGGGAGGAAACCGAGTCCCCTTAACCTGTGCGACCCAACCGAGTACCACGGCCAAATTTGATCCTTTCTCCGGCCAATTTCCGATGAATTGTGTTGATCCACTACTTAAAAATTTATCCTCGACTTCTCATCTCCCCGTTATACGAAAAACTAGAGTTAATTGGATCTTAATTTGGCAAAAATAGCATCGTGCATGCGTCGAGTGCTCGGCTTCAATTCACCAAACCTAAAGCTAACTTTGTCCACCACCACCACCAATCTACTCCCCACAAGCTCAGAAACAAAGCCCAAGCAATGGTGGAGGTGTCGAAGCACGTATAGAGGTCGAATTGAAGCACACCCAATTCTAGGGTTCCGATGGTTCGTGGGTAATTTCAGGTGTATCCCGGCCGAATTGGACTTCGGCCCATGTATGAAAATTGATCCCCTTGACTTATTCTACATTTCTGTAAAATTTGGTAATTTTTCGAAAAAAAATTGAATTTTTTGGCAAATCGGGGCGAGTGGGCCAAGAACCCACCAGACCATCCTAGGCTAATTTTGATGTCCTGATTCTATATTTGACATCCGTTTAATGAAATTTCGATGTTTTAACATAGTTTCATAATTGACCGCTTAGCTGGCCGTCACTTGATTACAGCAATCAATGATCTAACCGTTGGATTGTCACTAAATTTTGATACGTTGTAGTATGAAATATTGTAGGACATTAGAAACTAAAGGATCGGGAATCCAACGTATGGATGTTCCCGAATTGGATTTCTAAGTTTGTATAATCAAACGTTGGCCGCAACTTGAATTTGTGATTGGCAGAGATCCAATCGTTGGATCGTAGTGAAATTTTAGCATGTTATTCTGGAAGTATAATGTGGACCTTGGGAAGTTACGGATCAAAATTCTGACAGGCGGATCTTTTGGTTTAGATTTCTAGGGTTGTGGACCCTATTCATGACCTTGATCGACAGTTGACTTTTTAGTCAACTAGCTCGAGTTCTTTTAGCGTGTTGTGAGCTTAGAGTGTTGTTGAGATTCCATGGAGCTTATTGGGTTCAGCATGATGATGTGTCTTCCTCGATTGACGTGCACCTTAATTTACGTATTGATGGCATCACATCATGTTATGCTTGTTTATTTTATGTGATTTGACTTGTGTATTGAACTTGATGTGGAGTGTGGTTGATTTTTATGTTTGGTATGATGCGATGAAATGTGAAGACTAGTAGTAGACCGTTAACCCATTTTCATGGGGTTTGTTGCTTCAACACTTGTTTTATATCTTGCTTCCTTATTTCACTGCTTGATTTGTTCGGCCCTTCTAAATTGAGTACTTGGTTCATGTATTGTTTCTTCGAGCGTTGTTATATTTCTTAGACTTCCACTCGGTTCCGTTGAGTGATTCAGAATTGGGTTCCGCTGAATGGTCTGGTTCCCTGCTTCATCTGGATTTCGTTAAGAGGTTCGATATCCCTCGTGCTCCGCGATTCCATTGAGTGGTCCAGAATCATATCCAACTTGTATATCATTGAGTGGTTCGATTTGCATTGTACTCTGCGATTCCGTTGAGTGGTCTGGAATTGTATCCTGGTTTGGATTATGTTGAGTGGTCCGGAATCCCTTTTGGTGTCTTGGTTCCGTTAAGTGGTCTAGAACCCAATGTTGATGGATTTCGTTAAGTGGTCCAAAATCACATCATTTGACTTGTTCGTTCCTTGGATTTCATTTCAGCTTTAGAGATGTAGGCTTCGGCCAAACTTTGTCGCTCTAGCCCTGCATTTCAGTGTATGATATGTGTTATTGATTGATGTGATTGTGGAGTGATGTTGGTTGTGATTGTTGTCATTATGATTAGACTCGTTGACCAATATGGCTAGAGATTAATGTTGCGCTTCGTCGACTGTTCCTTGAGATGTTGCATGCCATGAATTGTGGTATTGTGTGGAGATATAGTGAATCATGTGATGATTGTTCAAGTGTAGTTTATGACGAATTACGAATGGCTTGATCCCTGTTTAGGGTACGTAGGCAGTCTAACGAGGATGTTAGATGCAGTCATAAATTATACGAAAAATTAAATTACTATGCAGTTGGATCTCGAGTTGTGTTCTGCCCATATCCCGGAGGTGGGGTGGGGTATGTTAGAGATACGGGTATTTGGCGACGTCACGTGTCGATCCTGGATGTATGTCGGGATCAGGGCATGACATAATCAGGGTGCTTTAATTGAACCACCAGACCATGATGCTCTATTAGGGATTTGGATCCTCTCCAAGGCACTTGGTCGGGATCCTCCTGACCGGTGTCTGTGAGCCGTTGAATTTTTATCCAATGACTACAAACAGAGGGCCCTCTAAAAGTTATAATAATTGTAGCCGTTGGATTTTTATTCAACGGTTCACAGACACCGATCAGAGAATCCTAACCAATTGCCTCGGAGAGGATCCAAATCCCTCTATCATGCATTGCTAGATAGGGTGCCAGGCATGCAGTGCTAGGTAGAGTATATTTATTAGACTAGATATTTGTTGGGGAATAGAAAGATGTCACATCCCTTTTATTTTAAAACCACTCATTTGACCTTACTAAGAAAGGTGGGCTTTTTGCCTATATAATAAAAGAAAGAGCAGAGAAAAAGGGGAGGTTAATTGGGGGGAGGAGCCTCCGGGTCTTGGTTTTATCTAGGCATGGCAAACGGGTCGTGTCTGTCGTGTTCGTGTCGTTTTCGTGTAACACCTGTTATCTTAACGGGTCGTGTCGTGTCACACCTGATTTCTTAACGGGTCCTTAACAGGTCGGGTCACTTTACCCAACGGGTAAAGTGACCCGACCCATTATGACCCCTTAAGAAAAATATAATTTTCTTAAATTG